GTTTCAGAGAGCTTTCGTCGGCTTTCCTCAAGACTTACATCATGTTCACTAAGCGCGAAGCAACAGCCTCCAGCTTGTGGAACCTGAAGCAGACTAAAGACCAAAGTCTTCGAGACTTCATGGAGCGCTTCAAGTCGATCGTCTCAAAGATCGACATCCCAGACCATATAGCCGTCGACGCTCTCATGAACACCCTCCATCTTGATTCCAAGTTCCGAGATGACCTATACCGAAGCACCTCCACAACGCTCCAAGATGCCATAGCTCGCTCACACAACTTCATCCGAATGGAGGAAGACACGAAAGCAATCATTGGCAAGCATAGCGCAGCAAAGCCGACAACGCCCAAGACTTCTGACGCAAAGCCGGAGCCGCGTCAACACGCTTCCGGCGACAAGAAACAACAAAAGAGCGGCCTTCTCTTTGTCGTCGACGAGAATAACACACCAGTCGCAAGCTTCTCAGTACGCGGCGAGCCATGGAACGTGTACAACCGAGAGACAGCGGCTCTAAAAGGTTTGGCTAGTCCTGCCGGACCGGCTCAACCAGCTTCGCCGGCTACCTCGGGAGCGGGATCTTCTAAAGGAGTCGACCTCACCAAACACTGCAAGTACCATGATGTCAAAGGACACGACACAACCGAATGTAGAACGATGTACGCTGAATTCCTCTCATCGGTCGAAAAGGGCGACTTCAAGGTTCAGCCTCCAAAGCAGGAAACTAAATCCGGCAAAAGTTGGTCTAAGAACAAAGATAAGCGCGCGCAGCGAAAGTCCGGCGGAAAGAGCGGAGAGCAACGCCGTCCAGACGACAAACCTTCGGGTGCTGCCGACAACGAAGCCTCCTCGGGAGACGAGGGACAACCAGCAAGCCGTCAACGCATTGAAGTGATTCGGTCTCAGCAACCTTTGTCATCTGATGACGAGGATGATAATTCGCCCGAGTCAAGCGACCTACGAAGCTTCCTGAAGCGAAAGGAGACGACACGCGGTGACGTCAACAGCAAAGACCTCCGACTCAAACTCCAAGCCAACAAGTCGCGGCGTCTGGAAACCAAGGAGCCTCCCTTGTCGATCGACAATCCAGTCACAGATCTGCGCGACAAACTCAACGCTAACCTGACCGATTTACGCGCGCGACTAAACCGTTCCAAATCAATGAATAAACGGCTAGAGCAGTCAACCTCGTCCTATACCATGGATTTGTCAAAGTTGAGCGGAGAGAACGTCCCAGCGGATCTCCGAACATTCTTAGATACCAAACGAGTAGTCGCGAAACCACGGCTGAACGTCATCATGGGTGGATCACCTCCTTGTGGCGACTCTGTCCGCTCCGTCAAAGACTACCGGCGTCAAGCCGCGTCTTCGAGACACTGGCCTGCGAAGCCACCGAGTCACGCGCCGATCAGCTTTACCCCCGAAGATTCGAACGGAGTCCACCTGCCCCACAACGATCCTCTGCTAGTCGTCCTTGAGATCGGTAAGTACGATGTGACCAAAGTACTAGTCGACACAGGAAGCTCGGTTGACCTAATCTTTCGTGATACGCTTGAGAAGATGGGGGTAGATTTCGACGACGT